TTTTGACCCATTTTAAATTTGTTCTAGTTTCATGTTATCTTCTACTTTCTCTTCAATTGAGGTTTTTCTGTGAAGTGAGTTCATACAAATCTTCAACTTCAGTTGAGGAAAGCGAGTCCCATGAGCTCAGTAATTGCTTTGTTCTCACAGCTGGTAAGGGGTTAGGCCACATTTTGAACCTAGGTCTATTCCAGAACCCATCCTCTTAATCATTACACCAGACTGCAGGAAACAAAACTCTAGCCCTAGTTCCCACCAGGTAATTCATTTGATACTGCTGTCTCAATTTTCTTGTTAATTAAACAGAGATACTGTTAGTTATTCCTACCTATTTCACAGAGATATTGGGATGATAAAATCAGAAAGCGGATAAGCTTTAAAAAGGAAAATTGCTCTATAAATCTATGGGACTGTCTCAGTCTCACTCAGATCTTTATCTCACGATCATGAGGGGATTTCACTGGCATCATTAACTCTCAAACATCCTCTGAAGTGAGGAGTGTTATGTTCTCCACTTATCAAAAAGATGAACCTCAAAAACATGATGTGATTTGCTTTTCCATGGCAGAGCTGGGGATAAGACCAACAATTTCCCACTCCCACTGTTTATGCTTGGAGGGTAAAATCCTGCTTTTGTGATTCAGGCTGAACCGTAAAACAGACAAGGTTGCCTTCTTGCAGTATCCACTTCAAAACAAAAACCACTTTAGAAATTCAATCTTCTTCCAGAGACACTAATGTAATCTCTTAGGTTGTTAATGCCCATCTCCTAGAGAAAATGTACAGTCAGAGAGAAATGTGTCAATTTCCCAAGAAGGGACTTCAATTCTTCAGTTTCACAATTTGTTAAAAATTAAAAACCTGGCTCGGCAGGGGGCATAGTGATGAAACCCCCAGGGAATACCAAAAATAGACTTTGGAGACAGAGTGTGGCACCTCATCAGACTCGACTGGAAAACACTCGTAAAGACCACCAGACCTTGAACTATATAGGGTTTTCATGTTTGTCAGTGGCTTTCTTTTTGTTATTGTTGTTATGGTTTTGTTGGTTTTGGCTTCCTTTGGTGTTGTATTTGGCTTTGACTGGTTTTTGCACTTATTAATGTTTCTGTATGTCTATCTAGATAAGATAGGCGGGATAAATAATTCAGAGATGAAAAGAAAGGGGCCAATGGTTCCAGGGGGGATACAGGAAAAGGGGATATGGGAGAAAGAAAGGGTGGGTGGGGAACCAACCAAGGGACAAGGGAACAAGTGAACTAAAATCAATGGAAGGATGGTCGTAGGATGCCTAGTGTGACTTAATCAAGGGCAATGTAGCAGCAAGGAATTACTAAACTTGAATGAAGGCCGAAC